GTTGACACAGTTGTTCTGTGGAAAGTGTGGTCCTGCTGCTCAGAGTGGTGTCTGATTTTAATCTTAAACTGACCACCTCTACTGCATCATCAACAGGAATGCACGTAAAGAGTGATGTGACATCAAAAGAGACCATTGTTTCATCAGTCTCCATGATGACATCCCTCACCTTGTCCACAAAGTCCATGGTGTTCTGTATGTGGTGTTCTGAGCTGATTTAAGCCAGATTGAACTTTTTTAGATTTTTCTACCTGGATTATTGAGCATGCATCAGGGTACTGGTAGAGATGTTCTGTCTCTGTTACAAGGTACTACAGCAGCTCTGGAGGGACATACCAAACACACAACAGCCAGGTTTTCTCTGCACTGAAAACTCTGGAAACAAGAGTGTAAAACATGATCTTATCATCTTTTCATTGCAATTCACAATTTGTGCCACTAGTATATTTTCCATGTTGGACCTTTTTAATTATTTTTGCTGACCGCTGAAGGTGAAATTAACCTCTAATAACAAATCAACTTTTGTAGTCAGCCCAATTTAAGATGCCTGGGACAGCTAAGTAACCTAATCAAAAACACAATTGGTTATAACTTGGTCAGTTTAGCAAATACTAAGTTAAAATTTGGTCTGAGCATCCTCATCAGTACCGTACTTGCCACCGTACACGTCGCAAATATTACGCGTCACCGCTGACCACCCGGAAATGTGGGCTGGTGTTGTGCCAAAACTTGATTAGCTGCCAAATGGCGGCCGCGGGAGCGTGCACGGGAGGACTTTAACAAGAATTTAACAAGATGAACTCTCAAAAACAATCAGCTGCATTTCGCCTGCATGGGCGGCGCGGTGAAATGCAGCTGATTTAAAGTTTGCTCCAGGAGTTCCAGAGTGAGGCAAAGGTGGCTTGGTATGGCAAGCCAAGTGTCTCATTAATAGTCACTTTTGCCTATTAATGAGACACTTGGCTTGCCATATTGCTCGAAGGCTCTCTAGCAGCTGAAAATGGTAGTGTTCAATATTTTCCAAGTCAGATCTCAGATAAAATTGGGGTTATAAATATGTGGAAAAGACGTATATTAGTCGTTTCGGTGTACAAGTCGCAGGACTTGCAAATTTATGCAAAAAGGAGCGACTTATATGGCGAAAAATACGGTACTTACTCTAACAGATTATGTAAGGTCAGTAGATGTTGCAGTTTGATTGAGGTTGCACATATTTGTTATTTTCAAGGTATAACCAAAACCATTATATATCGTTTCTTATTATAAGATGATTGTAGCCTAAAACTCTGGCATGAAGGGCGAGGCCTTTAATTTGCCAAATAATTTCATTTTTTACAAGTTTCTCCCTTTTTTTGATTTTTGGTCAAAAACATTTATTGCACTTCCTCCCACTGGGAATTAAGCATTCATTGACAGTTTCAGATGGTTTCATTACGCTGTTTTTAAACAAATGAGTCCAATTTCTCATGCTTTAATTGAGCACCCCCTCTGTGCGAGTGGATAAATAAACCTCCTGAGGCGAACTCTTGAAACAATAACCGCAGAGCCTCTTTTTGGCAGGAAGAACCAAACAACTGAGTCCAGTAGCTGCGGATTAAACGGGCACAATGATCAGGAGGATTCTTCCACACTTCATGACTCTTCAAGTCTTCATCTCGAGGATTTCCTTTCGTCAGTCGTAGAACGACATAAACGAAGATCCAGAAACCAAAGCAGGCCCGTCTGCTTCCATCAAACAGATGGTTTGTTCCCCAGCAGTTTTCTGCAGATGTGTTGGACATTTCCCCAGAGGCACATGTGACCACGCAGCGAGCCGCTCCTTCCCGTGTGTTTCTGCCTCTGTGTGGTACGCTCGCTCGCTGCAGTCGTTGCCACAGCTGGATCCCATCAGAATGCTGCGTTCACGGGAAGTTGGAGGACAAGTGACGGGCGGCCAGCGAGAACCGGCCTGCGTCTGTAAACATCCCTAAACACACGCAGCGATCCTCGCCCCTCGAGCTTATTTGTTTTTATGGAAAACTTTTCGTTTGGATTTAGTCCAACCGCCGTCGTCTGAAGCCTCCTTGCACATTTTAACCGTCACGGTTGTTCGTAACAAACCGCAGCGAACTAACGGGCTGTGTTTGTTAAAAACCAGAAATCCTCCGTTTGCTTTTCTCATCATCACTTCTCTCCTTCGACTTTCATGTGGCAGAACAAACCGGGATCTTTGACTTTAACTTTCAGCCACTAATCTTTCTTTGTGAAGTTGTCCCACTGCCGGAGAACGCCTCTGACTTCAGTCAGATCCAGTCAGAGGTGGAATTCAGGGGGTGGGGGCTTCACCAGTCTTTCCTCACTCGTTTCACAGCTCTACCCTTCTTTTTATTGGTCCGACTTGTTTTGGTACACTCCGGCCTCCTGCTCTCGCTCTGTTGCACGTTTGTTCCCTCTGGACCACACTTGTGAAACGTAGACTCTAAAACTGCTACTATAGCGTCTTCTATCGACGTTTACTTCTACGCGAGTCTACGTTGAAACTTTCTCTCTTTTCATGGGAGTTGAGTGTTTCAGGATCAAAGAGGTTTATTTTTACGAAAACCTGAAACAGCAGAGCAGCTACTTCCTGTTTTCACTGTAGCATCATCCTCGCCGCCTGTTGGCACCTGAGAAAACACGCTACAAACGTGGACACGTTCATTGGTACCCTTTAATTAAAGAACAAAACACACGAAGTACACTAAATTAACTTGAAACTGACAAATGTATTATTTAAAACTGATAAGAACCCAGGACAAAGACGTCAGAGGTGAACTCCAAGGTCAAAGTTCGTCAGTGTCGGATCGCAGCGTCGGTTGATGTTTGAGGCAACGTGGACTTAATGGAAGACTTGGAGCTTTTTGGGAACAACTCACATCAGACGCAAAAATGAAACGTACAATTCAACTAGAGAAATTGCATTTCCTGCGAAAATGCAGTGCAAATGAATATTGCTGAATAACTTTCTGAAAAACAGCTGGAATTAGCTAAAACATGCTGAAATGTAGCTGAAGTAGAAAAAACAAGCCTAATTGAGCTGAAAAAAAAAGCAGAATAACACATTTTTTTCTGAATTGGGTTTAAATGAGCAGAAATGAAAACAAAAATTTTAAAAATTGCTAAAAAAGCTGAAATTAGCAACAAAAAATAGCTGAAAATGCAAAAAGAAGCTTAAACTACCAGAAAAAGTGAAACAAAATGAAATGAGAAAAAAAAAAAAGTTGAATTAGCTGAAAAAGCTAAATTTAGCACAAAAACAATTAAATAGTAGCTGAAACAGCAGAAAAAGTTGAAATTATCATAAATATTTTAATTAGACTGAAAAGAGCAGAAATTACCCCAAAACCCTTGAATTTATCCGAAAAGAGCTGTAATTAGCTTAAATATGCTCAAAGAGAGCTGAAAATATAGAAAAAGAAAAAAGTGGAAATTATCTGAAAAAAGTGAAATTTGCAACAACAAAAAAACTGCTGAAAGTAACTACAAGAGCAGAAAGAAGCTTAAATTATCAGAAGGAAGTGGAGAGAGCACATTTTTGCTGAATTACGCTAAAAATTGTGGAATTAGCTGAAAAAGCTCAACTTAAAACTTAAAAAACAGCTAAATGGCAGCTGAAAAAGTTGAAACTTGCAGAAAGAAGTTAGAAGAAGCAGAAACATGTTGTAGTTAGCTGAACAAATCTGAAAGGAGCACAAAACAACTGGAAAAAAACAGCTGAAATTAGCTGAAAAAATGTTTAAATTTGTACAAGGAAGCCGAAAGAAGCTGAAACAGAACAAAATGTGAAAGGAGCAGTAAAAGGTTGTAAACAGATCTAAAGATTTGAAGGATGGAAAATTAGCTCAATTCATTTTCTATGAGGGAAAAAGTGGCAGAAAAAGCTAAATAGTTTAAAAAAAAAAGCTAAAGTTGCACCAATAGGTTTCACAGCAGGTTTGTCCTGTAAGAGCCGAATGTTTTAATTTATGATTTGTTGAAACAGCTTAAAAACTGGAGGTTGAGAATTGTGCTGAAAAACGTACGGAAGAAAAATGGATCACAATAGTGTGAATGCTTCATACACACACACACACACACACACACATACACACACTTACACACACACACACTTACACACACTTACACACACTTACACACACTTACAGTGGGACATGGGGGACGCTCGGGGGTTCTGGGGCCTCTTTGCTGCATCAGAATCTGTGCAGGGTTCAATCTCAAGGTGTTCTGCAGCAAAATGTGCAGAAGGCTGTCACAGGTCACGTCCTCCAACAGGATAATGACCCAAAACATGCAGCTAAACGCACCCAGGAAGGCTCCGAACAAGACGTCGGACTATTCTGAAGGGGACTTCTGAGCCCTGATCCAAATCCTGTTGAACATCTGTGGAAAGAGCAGAAACATCTGGAGAAGGAATCCTTCAAACCTGAGACATCTGGAGCGGGTTGCTCACGAAGAGTGGGTCCACATACCTGCGGAGCGGTGCAGGAAACTCGGGGTTGTCGTTTTTATCATGTTTTTTGTCATTTCGAGTCATTTCAGCGACCTCTGTGGGGTTTTTCTTCGCCCACTTCTTACACGTCATTTCAGGTCAGGACAGTTTAAAATCCTACATTTGAACAGAAAAAGCTATTTCTCATGCAGACATTTTTCTGTTTGCTCTCCAGAGATCTACACCATCCAGGGGAACTCTAATGGCCGACCCTGCTACCTGCCCTTTATGTACAAGGGCCAGTGGTTCCATAACTGCACGAGCATCGGGCGCGACGACGGGCATCTTTGGTGTGCCACCACCTACAACTACGACCGAGACCAACGCTGGGGATTCTGTCCTGTTCAAAGTAAACTTATCAGAACTTCCCATCTTCTGGTTAATATGCTCCTGCTACCGACTCTTCACTCTTTTTCTGTCAGGCAGCAGCTGTGAGACGTTCTGGGATACCGACCCGCTGACGGACAGCTGCTACCAGTTTAACTTTGGGGCCACCTTGTCGTGGAGCGAGGCTCGGATCAGCTGCCAGCAGCAAGAGGCCGACCTGCTAAGCATCTCCAAGCTGCACGAGCAGACGTACATCAGCGGTAACCTCAGATCACGCTCGTGTTTATACCGTGAAGAAAAAGTTATGGCTTCAAACGTGTTTTCTCCGGGTACTCCGGTTTCCTCCCACAGAACAAAAACATGCATGTTGGGCTGATTGGGGACTCTAAATTGTCCCTGGGTGAGAGAGAGAGTGAATGGTTGTTTGTCTCCTTGTGTCCTATGGAGGGAGGGAGGGAGGGATGAATGGATGGATGTATGATGGATGGATGGATAAGTGTTGTGTCACATTGAGGAAAAATAAACAGGTTCATTTAAAATATAAACATATCAAAGTCCAGTTTCAAATTTTAATTCTGTCATATCCCATCCATCCATCTGTCCATCCATCCATCCATCCATCCATCCATCCATCCATCCATCCATCCATCCATCCATCCATCCATCCATCCTCCATCCATCCATCCATCCATCCATCCATCCATCCTCCATCCAGCCATCCATCCTTCCATGCATCTATCCATCCCATACATACATACATGCATCCCCCATTCATCCATCATCCATTCATTCATCCATCCATGCATCCATCCATTCATCCATCCATGCATTCATCCATCCATCCATCCATCCATCCATCCATACATACATACATACATCCATCCATTCATCCTTCCATGCATCTATCCATCCCATACATACATACATGCATCCCCCATTCATCCATCATCCATTCATTCATCCATCCATCCATGCATCCATCCATTCATCCATCCATGCATTCATCCATTCATCCATCCATGCATTCATCCATTCATCCATCCATCATCCCTCCATCCATGCATCATTCTACAAGGTCTTTGCTTGTATTGCCCCCAACTTCAAATCCGTTCAAGATAATTTAACAAAACAGCATACACTTACGCATCATCACTAGACGGAGTGTTACAGAATATTTTCATCCCTCCAGATCTAAGGTCAAGGTCACAAATCAAGGTCAAATGTTATACAGGTCTTTGCTTGTTTGGGCCATTGCTACAGGTTGTTGTATTAAAGTTTGTCGATGGGCGTACAATGTGCTGTACTCTTGTTTGTTTAAATACAAAACACAAAAAACATGTTTTTATGAGATTTTATATCACTTAAGGAAATTGTTTTCTTGCTGTTTCAGGTATCCTGAATGCTTACAGCTCTGCGTTGTGGATTGGCCTCAATGACCTGGACCTCAGTGGAGGCTGGCAGTGGTCCGACTCGTCACCACTCAAGTATCTAAACTGGGAGCCAGGTTAGCCTCAGATCGAGTGACATGCAGAATAACCTGAAATAAAAGCTGTGCAACCACAAAGTTTTGTCTCTGAGAACACGTGGAGCGTTATCTGAGCACTGGGATCTTTGCTTATCTGGGGTTTTTTTTTATTCAACTGTAGATGAGCCGAATGTTGAGGAGGAGGAGAACTGCGTTGTGGTCAGGTCCGAGTCAGCCGGTCGTTGGCAGAACCGCGATTGTTCTGACGCTCTGCCTTACGCCTGTAAGAAGAGACCCAACGCCACTCTGGACCCCTTCACTACCGGTGCGTAAGAAAGCCTTTTTAAAAAAGTCTGATGAACCAAAGGCGTCCGTTCCAGCCCCGGTGCTCAGCTGACGTTTGGAAGCTAACGGTTTTCACGTGTCTACAGATTCGTGGGCAGATGATCACAAGTATGAGTGCGATGTGGGCTGGCAGGCCTTCCAGGCTGGATGCTACAAGCTCAGCTCCGAGAAGAATGATTGGAACGCAGCTCAGAAAGCCTGCCAGAAGACTGAGGCCAACCTGGTCAGCATCCACACGCTACCTGAGCTGGAGTTCATCATACGCAACCTGAAGAAAGGTCTGTTTTAAATTTATACTGGCTCTTTCAGTCTGTGCACAGCTTTTCCACTATTTGTGTTTTAATGCTCAACTTCATGCGGGTGCAGACTGATTCAACGTCCACACTATTGTTTATTCATAATGTTCTGATCTTTTGTTGCCTCCTAACTAAAGCTGCAGACTTGGTGCCATTTTAGCTGTTCATGCATCAAGTTGTTCAGCTCATTCTGGAGATAAGGGACTTTTCATTCAAAATGTTTAATAATATTTACTAATACTTTCCAGATAGAAATACTCAGAGCTCTTTTCAATTCCTTGGAAAATCTGCTTCTACCTAATTGTGTTTTTGCCTTCTTATGTTTCTTTTAGCTTTTAGCATTTGGTTTGTAGCTAGTGTTCTGCTTTTAGTTTTGAAAGCTCTGTTTCAGTTCCGTCCATCCATTACGAGAGGCGGGGGGGGGGGGGGGGGGGGTCGCAAATCCATCATTTTTCAGCAAAATCATTAAATATTCAGCAGTCAAGCTATTTTTTCTTCTTATTTTGTTTTTAGCTGCACATTTTGTTTTTAGGCTTATGTTGCAACGGTTTCCCTCTAGAAACTGAAACAAAGGAATAACATTTTGTCTGATACTGAGTTGACTGATTTATATACACAGATTTTTAGCTACAATAAGGGAGATCAGGTAAGATGAGCCTGTGATTGGGAGGTCACTGGTTTGAATCCCCAGACTGGCACAAAAATTTGGGTGTGCATAGTGAAGCAAGACATCTGCCTCCACCATCATTTACCCGACTGTGGGCCCTTGAGCAAGGCCCTTAACCTCCCAGCTGCTACCCAGGCACATTAGATGGCAGCCCTCTACTTCACCCATTAAGAATTAATTGAGTATATTTTTTAAATACCATGATTAAAAATCAAAAGCAGTTCATGAAAACGAATCTAAATAGAGCTGAAATTATTATTATTATTGTTATTAGACCTCTATTTATACAGGTTAGATCCCACTGAGCCTCAAAGACTCATTTACAAGAGAGACCTGTTACGTACAAGATACAGGCAGATGAGAAAAAGAGAACAGGAGGATGAAGGAAGACAGAAAAAATCATGTCTCACGCCATGTCCTGACTGGAAAACGATGTAAAAAAAATGCACAAAAAGACCTCGCAACATAAAGGATGCGAGTTGTCCATGGACACGCCAGAAAGTTCCAAAGTTCTGATAAGATGGTACAGTGTCTATCAGCATCATGGTTCTGATAAGGCCACAGATGTCCTCGGGAGGGGGCGGGGGCCAGGTAGAGCTTCAAGTTTACGTATCCTCCAGGAGCAATTTGAGATTTTTATTTATTAAACCTTCATTTAACCAGATAAAAACCCATTAAGATCAAGACCTCTTTCACAAGGGTGACCTTGCCAAGAACAGGCAGCAGCAGCACATGTCATAAAAAAACAAAACAAGTAGCAACATTAGATGAAGACTTCAGAGATAAGTTGGCCTAAAGCCAGCGGAGAGGCCAACTTCAGATAAACAACAATAGTTTGGGCTGCCAGACCATGTTTTCTGTCTGCCTTCAGTTCTGCTGGTTCACGCAATGGTGAATCCAAACAGCCAGATTTGTGGACGTTCCGCCCGGTCCGTGCTCGTTAACTTTCTCCAAGGTCGAATCCTTCATGCCAGCGAGTTCCAGGAGCCGCAAGTGGCTTACGATTCTCAGAAATTGTGTCCAGCTTGCGGTTGAGCTCGTTAAGCATGAGTCTGAGCGCTCGAGGCACAAATTAATCCCTCACATGACGCTGGTGCTTTTACCATGGCCGAAACTGCTGCCGATGTTTTCCTAATTTGTTGATATCCAAGGTAACCGCCGGTTCCAAAAAGCAGAAACACTGTTATCATAAATCCAATAATGTGCACATCTTCTACGTCCTCCATGGACAGCACAGATAGGCACATCAACTTCCACTCCCCCCGGGAATCAATGACATACCCAGCTGCGTGGGTCCGTTCAGGGAATGAGGGCTCTCCAGCACCGTGTCGTCTGGTAGAAAAAAAGAAACGTCATCTTGATGATAATCTTCTGGTGACATGGTGACAGATTATTGTTGGATAAATAAATATCCTTTCATCATCTCTATTTACTCAAAAAAGCCTCTCTGAGGACAAGAGAAGATCTTTAACCAAGGGTAGAGGTCACGATAAGGCTTTCACAGATGTACAAAAGTTACATGCTTGGAGCCTCGTCGGTGAGAATCTGCACCGGACAGTGAGGCAGGAAGTGTTTTATAAAACACGCTCATCAGACAGTGGCGAGGTCAAGACGACCTCGACTTTCCAGCGTCCAGACGAGAAGGCCTTGGAGTTTTATCTGATGCCGCCGTGTGCCTGCAGGTTCCTCTCTGCTCAGACAAAAGCCTCTTTGACCTCACACACATGGTTCAACATTAGTTCGTGATAAACATCCATAACCTTTACCTAAATTCCCCTGACAATTATATATTATATGTTCAGAACAGTTTAAATAGCAGCTGCTTTTAGATCAACTTTTGTCAAAAATTAAAAAAAAGTTAGCTTCTGAAAGCGCTTCATCTTTTTAATTCACTAAAAGTCATGAAACATCTTGTTTACTTAACTGTTTGTTTAACTCATCTGTCTGTATTTTTTATTTATTTATTATTATTAGATATTGATCAGTTATGGCTAGGCCTCCATGACACCGACATGCAAATGAACTTCCAGTGGACTGACCACACGCCTGTCATCTTCACCTTCTGGCACCCGTTTGAACCCAATAACTTCCGCAACACCCAGGAGGACTGCGTGTCCATGTGGGGCCCCGTGAGTGACCTTTAGACCCTTTAGAGACCCCCTAACGATCCCAGACTCTCAGCGAGTCTCCTCCGTGAGCGTATATTGACCATCTGTGGTGTCTGTTTCTGTTTTGGTCCTGTCATCACGTGCAGGAAGGGCGCTGGGACGACAGCCCCTGCAACCTGACTCTGCCCTCCATCTGCAAGAAAGCAGGAACAAAGAGAGACGGGAAGCCACAGCATCAAGAGTGCAAACAAGTACTTTATGTTACTTCACATTCTGTTATAATAGTATTTATAGTTTCTTCTGTTTTTTACAATAAAACTTTTTTACGTCCAGTAGTCCCTCTTTTCCAGTGGGGGATCCGTACCCTGAAGAAGCCTCGCGATAAGTGAAAAACTGCAATGTACAAATAGTAGTGCATGTAGTAAGTAGTAGTTTATATATATATA